AAAATTTAAAATCGGCTCATGAATTTGTGAGATAATAACCCCCCTTTTCCCCTACCCATAACTTGTTTTTTAATAGCAAGGTACCCGCCCTTGTGACATATCAAATGAAAAATAAATTTCACCAAAATTTTTCTTTTTTCATGCTCTTTCATTTGATATGTCACAAGGGGTACTTTGCTATTAAAAAAAATTAAGTTCCGGGGGGGTGAGGGGGGGAATATCTCACAAATTTATGAACCGATTTTCAATTTTTTTTCATCAAACATTTTCTTTTTTATGCTCTTTTATTTGATATGTCACAACGGGTACCTTGCTATTTAAAAAAATAAGTTGGGGGCAGGGGGGGAAAGGGGGGGGATGTGAATGTAACGTTGAATTCAAAACAATTGGTCCCCCTACGTCAATAGATGATTCCCGCAAACTGCATATTTCTATCTATTGCGGTTTTTACATAAATAAAGATGCAAGTTTTTAAAAAAACACCCTGTATAAAAAATATATTATTGAGGTTTTTACGTTTCATTATCAGGTATTGTTTCAGTATGTTTGACCATAGACAAAAAGAGTTAAATATAGACTGTCAGCCGTGCTGCGGTTACTATGGTTACCATAGGTTCTGGCGCACAACGCTAGGAGCGCAGTGTAGTTACGTAGCGCGTACGCTATAACTACATGGTGCTCCCAGCGGTGTGCACCAGAATCTATGGTAACCGCAGCACGACTGACGGTCTATATTGAATTATTTTTGTCTATGGTTTGACAGTATAGTAGGTTTTTTTATTCGTGAGCTGTCTAGATCATGTGTTTGAGTCTTATGCGGGCTTTGGCTTGTACATCAATAATTACTGTACAACATAAAAAGTGTAATGAGTAATATTTACCTTTCTTAGTTCAAATTTTCAGAAACCTCTGAGGTAATTCAGATAGTTTTGCAAGTTAATAATGAATAATAAAAAAACGGTAGAGTGTTAATAATTCTAACAAAAATAGTGCGCTGACATGTTGTAATAGCGTAATTCCTAGAAAGCTTACTTTTAAGGAAACTAAAATTTAAGACCACATACATTTGTAATGGGCTAAAAGATGGTGATATTGTCTACTTTTAGTTTACATCCCCTACTAATTAATTCCCGATTTTCATCTAGGAGTGTTAACTATATTGATTCAATTGTTAAATGTGGCCACAAATAATTGCTAAATTTATCATTTTTTGACAAAAATGTAAAATTTAATTTTACCCATAACGAAGTAAATTTTTTAAACGGATCAATTTTTTTAAAATCCAAATTCCCTATATTTTGTTTTGTAAACGAATGAGGAACTTTTATTATAAACATGATAAACAATAACACAAACCATCCTATCTATAAAATATTCCACTCTTACAGTTATAAAATGAAACCTACTACAACCCAAAGACGAACACTTATCAAATTAAAATTATTCATAACGAAAAATACTTGTATAATCTGTCCAAATAAACGCATCTATCACACATTTTGTCTGGCGTCACATTTGTCATATGCCGCTAAATGTTCTACCACTGACAAAGACAACTGGATGACGTCATAATCCGAGCTACACTGACTGACACTTATGACAACACATTTGTCATTTAGCGGAATATGACGTAATTTAATTCAATTTAATTCGCAGGTGGGATAGATTACATATGCTTTTTTGCATGATTACCAATATATACAGGGTGGTAAAAAAGTCCCAGGACAGTTAAATATTTTAAAAAATAATGCAGATAGAGCTACAATACTTGGTACAAAGTCACAGGGCATAAAACTCTATTTTAACACATATTCAGTGATCCAATAACTCTTCACGGGGACGGCCCACAAGGAGTCGGAAGAAAATCTTAAATGGAAGCATAGGTCAATATGCACATCAAATTAAAGGTCTTTTTTAGTAGAATACAGTGCCGCAAACCGCACTTCAAAAGGTTGATCCTGCGCAAAATGGCAGATGTTCAAAGATTTCTTGAATCCGCCATTTTGAATCTTTGAACGACTGCCATTTTTTACTCAGGCATTCTTTTGAGCTTGAATTTACGGCATCGTAATCTACTAGTGATGACCTTTAATTTGATGTACATATCGACCTATGCTTACGTTAACAATTTTCATCCGATTCCTAGGGCTGTGCCCTGAGGAGTAAGCGTATAATAGCAATGTAAATTAAATGAATCTTTGAACAACTGTCATTTTGCGCAGGATCAACCTTTTGAAATGCGGTTTGCGGCATTGTATTCTACTAAAAAAGACCTTTAATTTGATGTGACCTATGCTTCCATTTAAGATTTTCTTCCGACTCCTTGTGGGCCGTCCCCCTGAAGAGTTATTGGATCATTGAATATGTGTTAAAATAGAGTTTTATGCCCTGTAACTTTGTACCAGGTATTGTAGCTCTATCTGCATCATTTTTTTAAATATTTAACTGTCCTGGGACTTTTTTACCACCCTGTATATATATATGTATTGCTGAGTATCCAAATGAAATAAAGACAAATTTTTATAAGGCAATCACTACTACCCCAGCTGCACGCACCTACGATAGCAACACATTTATTTGTCAAGAAAAAAACAATGATGTGATCCCGATATCCTCGAGATTTGAGGATTCTGCCAGTCCATAAAGTGGACATTTAAAAAATGTTATCATGAAAATGGTACTTTAGAATTCCTTTGAGAAATGAGAGTGATTTAAGCACCTGGCGGTAGAGTGAAGGGTGCATTTATAACTTGCAATACTCAACTGAGGTGTCAGCGAGGCTCATATATAAAACATACCCCTTATATCTGAGCTGGCTGTACGTTTGATTGCCAATGCAAACATGGAATACGAATTCGGGTAGAATTAGTTTGATATAAGAAATATTTATATTGATATCTCTAAACAAAAGTGTTGAAATTTATCCTTATAGGCATTATAATCCGTTTGTATTTTATGAATAAGTTAATACTATATCTTGACATGACATAAGTATTAATTAATTAATTTAACATTAATTTAGAACATCAGTGCAATATGTTTTTAATTAGTTAATGAAAAACGTATTTTATTTCATTCAACTTTTTATCACTTTTATTAGTTAGGGGCACACCAAAAGATATGTTTAATTAACAGGTACAGCTATCCATTCCCTAAACGTCAATTATTGGGTTTCATGTCTCAGTTGATTAAATCGATTTACTCCCTTTTTTCTGTGATGAAATGTGGAAGTTTAGTGTTTCCTTTTTTGTGTAGAAAAAATATAGAGTTATTTTTTTAATAAAGTGGACTACAAAATGTTTCTTACAAACAATAGCTATAACGCTTAAAGTAGTTTTTTTTATCAAACTATACTTCAAATGAAAATTTAACTACACATATTATATGATCAAAAATACGTTTTACTCAGTGTTAAATTAGCTCACACTAGTATCAAAATAACTTTGTGTATAGACCTACTTATTTTTTACACTACAAATTTTTAATCGTGCATATCTTAATTAGCTTATGTTTCTATCAATTATTATGAAAGTATACAAGATCAAATGAAAAGCTAAAACAGTAGAGATATTCTTGCATATTAATGTTTATTATGTTATCATGTTTGTTTATTATTATGTACCTAAAAGTGATTATAGGGCATCATGGTTTTAAGAATCATTATTAAGAAATAGTAAAATTGTAAGTTATTAAACATTAAACTACACAAAAATGGTTGAAATTTGATCGCTATCAACTACCGTAGTCAAACCTTTTATGGAGGAGGAATAACAATACTGAGAATATTGGTATTGAAAGTATTGGTGGAGTATAAAGAGTATTGGTATAAGCAGCAGTATTGGTATTGCTGGGACAGGTCTCAATATAGAGGTATCGGTGGACGGGGTGCATACATTACTTCGATGTCACGCTCAATTTGACTCTACGCTCGCAGAAAGGGCTGCTCGAGGGTATTACGGTAAAAGGGGTGCTGTATTTTGAACCCTTTCGGAAAATGGTCTTGGAGCAGGTTTTAAACTATAATTGGGAAATAACTATTCATTAGACGTTGAATTTTTGGAATCTGTACAGGGTAGGTGTATGGCTCTGGGGAGTGGGATTTTGACAGGGATTTTTCCATTTTCAGGGTATTTCTCCTATTTTGTCGGCAAGGCAGTACAACCCCATGTATACCCCCTATTTTTGGGACGAGGAATTCGATGGAACCATCGCCGCCCCCCTTTCGACCTACAAGGGGGGAAATGCCCCCCAAATACACTAATTTGTATGGTGTGTACAATAATGCCTGATTGTAATATTAGTCTTCAAACATTTATACAAGTAAACATACATAGAATTAATTCAGCGGATGTGACTCCAACGAAAATCAAATAAATATGACTACGGGTAGGCCATATAACGCAACCAGTTTTGTGATCCTAATAACTTACACTCTAATAATTAAACTAAAAGAGGTTTAAAGTACATTTTCACTTAAGTAATTAATCGGAATAGCCAAAAGTTAAACTTCGGAATCGCTTTTTAAACATATTTTTTGCAAAACAAGTTTTGTACATCTTAAAAGTAGATAGGTAGATAGGTACTGTGTTTAAAACTTTGCGAGTCGTATATAACTGTGTTATGTGTGTACATATTGCATAGGTTTAAAGTTGTGTTTGTTCATGTCTGTCTAATTGGTCATTGTTGTAAAGTGAAAGTTTTTCCTACTTCATACAGAAAAGAAGATGTTTTTTTACAAAAGTTTTGTCTGTAGGTAATTTTGTGTTTTTAAAGAAGAACTTTGCCATATCATTACAGAGCCTTGCTCTTACATATGATATTATAAAAGCAACTAAAATTTAACTAAATTTCCTGCTATCTCCTTAGTTCTCATGGATTTGCAGCACACCACAATTTACACCTATACGATATTGACCTTTTTATCTCTTAATTTAACATTTCCTCCAACTTGCACCAGATATTCTTCTCTCAGTTCTCTCAATATCGTCTATCTGTTTCAGATGTAGCCTCTGGCAATTTCACTCCGGAAGCTGATCCGATGAACGACGTCCAAGTACAAAGTGACGCCCACCCGGAGAAGGAAGTGCGAACCAATGTCCAGAAACCTGGTTAGTTGTTTTAGCTTTTGAATCACCATTGCTTGACCATTCACGTTGATTACGTGCAATACCCAAGTCTCCCAGAAACTCTCAGACGGGAAATAAGCCAAACATTTTAAGATATTTAAGCATGAAGAAGGTATACCAGGAGTTCGTACCTTTCTAAAAAAACTTATAATTTTGTGATGTTTGTCGTCTGAAGTACACATTTATTTGCGTATAGGATGAAAATAAAATAACATGGCGTTGACAAAACTTCTCCAACTGTTTTACACTTTGATAGTTATTAAGCCAGTTTTCTTTACTCGGTGTATTTTCAACCATGAGTAACTACTGGTATGTTTGATCTATGTTCATATGAATCTCATTACTTTGGTTTCACTATTTCGTTAAATAAAACGGCTTGTGCAGTTGAGTTTCTAAGAGTTCACTTCTGTTTCAGTATTCACCGCGAGACCAGAGGACAATTCACTGATGGCTGTGACAGTAGGAGCACTGCTAGCCATCATCATTCTGCTAGCTGTCGCCATCTTCCTGATAGTCAGCAGACATCGGCAACGCAAGGGGTTCGCCAGTCCACTAGCAGCCAAGACGGCGCTGCCAGGCTCTGATAGCAGTTGTGGAACAGCTGATCGCAGTCAGCAAGGCATCGACACTGCGCTCCTGATGGACTCCGGGTACCAGGAGCCCTACCAGGCGCTGAGGTACGCGCCGTACTACAGCTACTCTGCCGTCGTCGTGGACTCTGTCAAGGGGCTGCCAGGTTAGTTACACGAGAGGGATGTCTGATGTCCTGATTTTTATCCGAATCTTTTATCCTGATCTTGGATTTTAATATTTTACCCTTATGTAGTATCCAAATCTTGTATCCTATTCTCATATCCCGATCTCGTATCAGGATCTTGTATTAAGTTTTTGTATCCTGATCTTGAACCCTGATATGGTATCCTGATTTTGTATTCAGTTTTGGTATCCGGAACTTGTGTCTTGATATCATATCCTAATCAATTCTCATATTTTATTCTGATCAGGTATCCTGATCTAGCTCGTGAATCCAATCATCAGTGTATCTAGTTTGCTTAGACTTTGTGCAGTTTAACTGATCGCAAAAGATTTGTTGTCGGTGTCATTCATGTTGTAAAAAAAAATGTGCAAAGTCATAGGTCTCTAAAGGTTAGGCCCATAAAGTATCCAAAGCTCTGGGTCAGAGGCAGTCTTGCATACTACCTTAGATTAAATGCTATCAAGTACCTCTTGTATTGCTTGCAAGAGTAATATGTGTTAATATTGTTTAGTCGTATTCAGAGTTCATTTATTCGCAACAATCTAATTTGGCACCTTTCACTCAACTGTCAGGTGCCACTCACACCACTCACATTTCTCAAAGAAATTCTAAAGTACCATTTTCATGATGACATTTTTAATGTCCATTTTTTACTGACAAATTCCCTCAAAAGTTCGTACCAGTAGGAATTTTCATTTGCTTGGCATTTTATTTCGTGCATTAGTTTTATACTTCTCCTTTTGAATGTTTAAGGCATAACACTCCTAAATTTATAATCTAGGTAGCTACAGTAACAGTAACATTACTTATAATAATGTTATCCACTACCAACCCATTGAAAATACAACCCGTTTTACTAATTATTTTAATATTTGCTGTTAACACATCACGAAAACATTTTTCTCTTTAATTTAACCTTGACGAATACATTAGGAAAACTAAACTGAAAAACTAAATCTGATGAACAAAATACTTAAACTGAGTAGAGCCAACCTTTTATTGCGAAAATGTCACCTGTGAAAAACGCAAACGTAGAACTCTCATTAATTTAAACGTCTCGTTAGAATAAATAAAACCATTCGTCTCTGTCGCATTATCTTCGCTCAAACATCGCGGGTCTCTTTCACTGCTTAGCACTTCGCACTTCGCGCCGACTTTTCATTCGGACCTGTTTCACTAATGAGATATTCTCGTATTTCATTTAATGTTTCCAGAATAAATACTGACTAGTGAAGCAGACTGACGTTTTTGTTATTTGGATGTGAAAAACTCTTTTTGTTTTTTTGTCTAATATTTTATGACAGTAAAATTACAGTTGAATTTTAAATATTTTAATAAAGTAATGTAATAAATTGCAAATTATTAGCTAATTAAGATAGAAACATGTATTTTCTTGTATAGGCTTTGGAATAATTTAGGTAGGATTTTTGAAACCAAAGTATCGTTTTAGTATGTTTTATCATTGGCTATTGGATAGTCAAAGGTTTTATCTATGGTTTATAAATCGAGACAAAAATTACTAATATCAGTCACCTAAATCAGATGTTGATTAATTTAGTTTTGACCTGTTTTAACCACAGATTATTGTGGTAACTTGATCAACTGTATTCTTGTTGTTACTTAGCAACTTAACCTCAAAATGCAATGAGTTGTACTATCGATGTTTTGTTTAATGGTTACCGTTTGACAAAGAGTTTTAATTCGCAATTTTTTGTTTTTAAACGTAGTGAACATGTGAAAGCTTTACTGTGTTGAAAAGTAGTGTCCACACCTACAAAAAAGTTGCTCTTTAATCAAAATTTATTCAAAAAACCATCTTACTCTTCATGTTAATTGATATTATTAGTATTTCCCCCCAGTTTCAATTTTCACTCATAATTCTACCTTACTTACAGATGTATCCCACGACTACGCCGTGCCTGAAGTAGGCAGCTTGTCCCTAGGCAAGTCGGAACTAGGCACTTTACCTCTAGGCAAGCCAGACATCCCTGCCTCACCACCTGTCGTTGAGAATCTCTATGCCATCGGGGTGGTGCGGAATATCAAGGATGACAACAAAAACAACAAAAAGGTATTGTGTTATTCAACAATTAATTAATTAAATAAGTATTTTGATAGGACAAATATTAATGTAAATAAACGGTATCAGCAATCTGACACGTACTTTCTCCCATAAGCTTGTATTGTTGCCAAACCTTTATAAGCGGTGGGAGTAACTATGATATTTAATGGGGAAAAATAAAAAAAAGCTGCAATAACTGTAGAATCGTAATTGATACAGCAATGGTGGATGCATTATTTTTTTTAGAATTATAAGTACAATAACACAATAATTATGATCAAAATCAGTTTTTTTTCTAAAACTTAATTTTTTTGTTATTTTATGGGGGTTTTTATGGGAAAATAACATAAGTTACAATAGCTTTTTGAACCGTAATTTTTACGGAAATGGGATTTGTACCATTTTGTTCAGAATTTAAAGGACTATAACATACTAAGTTCTATCAAAATTGTTCGTGCCATTTTTGAGAATATTCTATTTTTCCGTTATTTTATTGGTTGTTATGGGTAAACCACCATAAATAATCAAAATTTAGAAAAATTTGAAAAAACTGCCTGAATTACCATGGATTAGTTCCCACATACCAAATTTAATCAAAATCGGAGCACAGGTGTGGTCTGTAGCTATGTACACATCCACACATACACACAAACATCACTTCGAAAACCACTTTTTGGGTCCAGGGGGGCCCAGAACAGATATATCCACTCAAAACTCAAACTCGAACATTTGGACGAATAGAATACTTTCTCCATACTATGGTATAGGGAGAAAGTAAAAAAATGATAAAATGAAATATAGTTTTTTGGTAGATAGTTGAAACAAAGTGATACGGTGCAATTTGAATTTATGAAATGTACCGTACATTTTGAACAAGAAATAACCATAAATGATTTTTGCTACAAATCCCTATGATGAAGTTATTATATTCATCTGCTTATTTCCCCCCGCATGCAGTATTTTTTTCAACTAATTGCTACCTAAAATGCAACCTTTACTGTTTCATCTGAGATATTTTAATTAATTAGACGCATCTCCTAATTTTTCTTCAGCAATTAGTGAGTGAGCTGTTTTACTAACCTTCCCAGTCTGTTACTACAAACTCTTCTTATTATTAAACTCTTGTTGGCAAGACTTAAACTTGTTTCTAATGGCAATTAAACTCTTCTGCTATTCTTCCCTCAACATGTAGTAGCTCTAAACTGTTTCTTCTCTCCCCGCAGTTCTTTTTAAAATATACATTAATTTATGAATCGTTTCACTTTTAAATATACGTTGAGAAATTTCCGAAATTGGCCAAACAAAAAACAAATAAATATTGAATATTGAACTTTGCGAGTAAGTGATAAAGAAATATAATTATGTTTTCCTTTTTTACCACTATCCTATCATCTTGAACAGTTTATTTAAAAATAAAGTTTCAACAAATTTCTTCCACATGAAGCACACCTATATTCTCATATCGATCCAACATGAGTTGCTTTAAATATTCCCCGTGTTTTTCCAATACAAAATTTAAATATTCCGCTAACCTACCAACGTAGGAAACTCAGGAAACCAAAATCTTTATTGAAACGAATAAATCAAAAGACACGCCATAACCATTTCCAGGTTTGCTGGCCACTCCTTTGATCTTTTAAATCCAAAACAGCTGACGATGACAAAACAGCTGACAACGAAACAGCTGAGGACACGACACGCTTCTCCACGGTGGCACGGACCTGTCCAAACACAGGTGTCGCTGTCAGTGATCCCACCATGTTCAGGGGGAATGGGGAGGGGAGTGTACAGTAGGGTTGGGATGCCGATGACACAGTCCCACACATAAATGCTGGGACAGTACAAAAATAATGTCAATGTAAAATGTCCGAAATAGTCACGGTAAAAATGACTTAATGAATTGGTTGGATTTCGCTGTTGTTAGCATAACGTCAGAGTTCTTGAATGGCTAATTTTGTTTGTTAAATCGAATATTTTTAACTTTTTTTACATTTTCTAAACATCAATTTCATAGAATGAATAGAAAAACAATATCAGAAGAAGTATCAATCAATTATATCAATTATTTAAGATGGGGACGCCACTAGGTGCGTATTTTAAACCGAATATGAGTGAAGGATGAGTGTAGAACGGCGCTGTACAAGTACACTGTTGTAGTTTGCTTGTTTATGGATATATTTTGATAAATCTACACATTTTATTGTACTATAATATGTAAATTTTACCAGAGCAATACATTTCCATTCCCCGTAGCCGCAAATCTAACTACTCGGTAATTCTAAGGCTATTTAAAAAGAGAATAAATCTTACAAGCTTAAAGAAACATTTTTGTCCAAATGTACAAATGAATAAGCACTCACTCTGCAGGTTTGCTGAGGTAGGACTATTTTTTGTACAAGTATATTTTACAGCATAGCATGTCTGTTGTCCATAAAAATCAACATTGTATTTCGGACACTGTTATAAAAACCCATTGTAGAGCCATGCGCTGCGCGGGTGACACAGACGAAATTGATTGATCATTGTTTAATTCATTTTTATCGCCAGGTGGAAACGCTACTGGCGATGAATTGGAAAATTATTCAATTTGTCATCATAACATTATCAGTCAACAACTGACGGCGAATCGATTCTGGCAATTCATCAAATGTTGAGTAGTTTTATTTAATTTTATTGATACAAGAGCTAGATGTGTTTGTTTTATCGTGTAGCGAGATGAACATTTTAATTAAACGTGTTTGTTTATATTATAAAAACCTTAAGTTAAGAAATTATTGTAATTATTCAATCTTTTAAATGCGGCCTGGTGTATCTTTTATAATTGTTTAGATGTTATATCAGTATTTGTTTGAACTTAATTAATTTCTAATACGGTTTAAAAAGTGAGTCTTGACATCGACTTTTTAAAGGGATACTCTTTCAAGTTGTTGCATGCTAAAAGTATATTTTTTTTTTATTTCTTAGGCCATTGAAGAACAAAAACACTTACTCATCTATAAAGAGCTGCAAGTAATTTACCGAAACATTCTTAAAACCCAATGAAGGACTCATATATTTTAAAACCGATCAAATATTTTATTTCTTACCATCACTTCTCTTATTTTGTTACTTATTTATCTAGAGTGCTTTAAATTCAAGTATATAACTTTTTCACTGGTAAAAAACGTCTAAGATTGGGCGACGCAATGCTCAAAATACAAAAAGTAATGTCAGAATTCACAGGACTCGTCAATTTACCTATATTCAAGAACGATAAATTAATTGTCAAAAGGTACAGAACAATTATTTCCTAATACATACATTTCTTGAAAATTTTGGGAAAACATCTCTGATTACAGTGGCTAATTTTAATCAGTGAGACCGGTTTAAATGCCATCAATTGTATTCGTTTGTCTTTACTATGTTAATTAATGACTCAATCGAAGAAGCAATTGACTTGAATTAGCAGCGGACCACACAGAAGTCCAAGGAACCGAACAAGGCACGGGACGAACTGTCAAACCCGGGCGATATGTTAATGTGATACGAGCATTTCAGGAATGTTAAACACGTCTTCAGATCTTCCCGACCCATTCTGCACACTTGCTAAATATCATTCCGCTTTATAAGTTAATTTGCAAAGAATCGGGGAATTGAAGAGTTATAGCTTTTCAAAAGTGAATCATACATTAAATTCTTTAGGTTTACTAAATCTTTGAAAAATATGAAATGGAGTTGGTTCACGTTTATATTTCTATCCTCTTCCACAAAAAAATACGGAGCCATTTTATAGAGGGTAGTATTAAATTACTTGCATATCGAGGAACATAAAAGGCATGTTGCGTTTTGTCTAGGCATTTTATGATTCATGTCACCAAATTACGCCGATACGGAGCAAGGCCTTTAGGAAGTGATTATCAATTGGACCCCGTTGATATAAAAATAAACTACAGCATTATATTTTTCTTGGATACATTAAAGACATTAAGTGACCGTGGAAGCCTATTCAGGAAAATTATACGACTCTATGGGGAGGAACTAGTGAAACTTGTTAGAAGATTTGGTGACTTCATAGAGAAGAGGAGTAAGTTATTAGCCAGAAGACCACGATTCTACAGCATTATATATTAGTTTTTGACATACTTACCTGATTTCATTCTAAAATAGTTATAAATTTAATTTGAATGAGAGTGCACACTTAATAAGACAACAAGAATAATTTGAATAAGTGGTCAAATAGAGCTACTATGATCAATCGTGATATTCTAATTTGTTTTCTTCAATAGATTAAAAAAACCATAAACTCCCTAATCTTTGTGAACATTCTCCCTTTGATATGAGATAGACTATTTTATAATAGGAAACCTTTATTAACAGGTAAAAGCATTTTAAAGTGATTTTTTTGAATCCAATTGGTCAAAAACACATCTACTATGTTTCAATAGAATACCATCAAACACAAGTTCATATCATACTTCTAGTAATGTGTAATGTGTATGGCGTTGCTGAACGTAAAATTGTTTATATATTTTTCAGAATCAATCGTATTTATGGACTTTTTAAGTTTTGTATGCATAATGAAGTATCATGTGATATAAATTAAAATCAGTGAAAAATACCTTACGACAGATGCAAAGTAGGTGAATAATGCAAATTCAAACAAGATTCCTCAGCGAACTCAAATTTGTCTACAACCCCCTCCCCTCAAAACACCCTCACACCCCTTACCCTCACGTCAACTACAGTTGTGTGAGGTCGGGTGTCTGTATGTCTGTCTGTCTAGATGCTACCAATTTGTACCAATCAGCTGTCTCGGGCAGGAGGGGGGTCGCTCTATTTCAATATTCCTATTTTAGCTCTTCTCTCTCTCCGTTGTATCATCATCAGTCATATGCCAGATAAACATCAGCTGGTATCTGAGGTCGTCAAAGACTCGCTTATTTATGTGGACAGTAAACACTTAAGTCGTCAATAATCAAAAGTGCGATCTAAACACAGACACTCTCTAAGCAAACAACCTACTTGTAATTAATAATCCTTAGACTCCTTGAGTTTATAGTGGACAAAGGGTTTTTTTCTGGAAATGATAGCATCCTTAATATTTATTTAGAAAACAAGACCTTTTCGTTAGCTAGGTTCAAGGAAACTCAAAGGTTTCTGTGTTTATAAAACTGTTGAAGTTTTTACTTCGAATTCTATCCCTGGGAAAGTTCACAATATCCGATTGGCAAATTAAAATGTTGAATTAACACCACATTTCTTGTAGATACATGTTGATATGAATGGAGTAACTAAAGTAGGATACAAAATATAAAATAGAATACATATGCCTATAGCTTCTCATACTGAACATAGCCTAAATAAACGGTATCAGCATTCTGACACATACTTTCTCCCATAAGATTGTCAACAACCTTTCTCATGAGTAAGCGGTGAGAGTAAATATACGGAAATGGGATTTGTACAATTTTCTTCAGAATTTAAAGGACTATAACATACTAAATTTTTATCAAAATCGTTCGGGCCATTTTTGAGAAAATCCGATTTTTCCAGTTTTTTTATGGGGTTTTATGGGAAAATCCCCATTAAAAATAAAATTTTCTAAAAAATGACAAAAACTATCAAAATTGTAAGGATCATAACATACTCTGTTAAATCAAAACCGGATTTTTGTCTAAAATCCTATTTTTTGTTATTTTATGGGGGTTTTATGGGAAAATAACATAATTTACCATAACTTTTGAACCGTAATTTTTACAGAAATGGGATTTGTACCATTTTGTTCAGAATTTAAAGGGCTACAACATACAAAATTTTTATCAAAATCGTTCGGGCCATTTTTGAGAAAATCCGATTTTTCCAGTTTTTTATGGGTTTTTATGGGAAAATCCCCATAAAAAATCAAAATTTCAAAAAAATGAAAAAAACGCCTGGAGATACCACGGATTAGAACCTACATACCAAATTTCATTGAAATCGGACCACAGGTGTAGTCCCTAGCTCTGTACACATCCAGACACACAGACACACAGACACACAGACACACACACAGACACACACACACACACACACACACACACACACACACACAGACATCACTTCAAAAACCACTTTTTTGGGTCCAGGGGGACCCAAAACGAATATATCCACTCAAAACTCAAACTCGAAAATTTTGACGAAAACAATACTTTCTCCATATACTATGGTATAAGGGGAGAAAGTAAAAAACATAACTTATAAATATGTTTATAAAGTGGTTTTGTAAAGTTTAAGTTACCCTATTGTTTGGTCCTTTTCATAAATCACCTATGCAAAGTCCATATAAGTATTTCTTTGTATATCGGCTTTAACCAAACTAATCCATAAAGCATTAGTATGAAAGCATTAGAAAATCATATTGCATATAGATTTTCACTTTTTACACTGAAATGGATACAATTTTGGAGTATTTTCCGACAAATATATGTTTATTTCAAACATCTTATGTTTACTTATTTCTAAAATATTTTTCTCATACTGATCTTTACGTACACCGGCATAAAAAAAGCCACTTCAAGGACGCAGTTGAAATACTCAGTTTAATTTACATTAGAGTAGTGAACTTTCATTCCCTACACAATGCATAGAACGAGCTAGTGAGAGTACCGGTGCAACAGAAACACGGATTTCCCGAATAACAAAATCTCACATTTTAAAGCTAATCATCCTACAACCTCAACCTACAACATTTTGAATCAATTAAACAAGTAATATTTGTCAAGTATAACTTTTCCCACGTTGTCTCTTAATTTGACAAATATTAATCCAATAGCTCCAATTTTTTAAAGTTTATTTTTGGTGATGGTAATACTTTTCCCTTACCTTTACCCTTTGTGGACATGTTATCTGGAATTTGACCCCGTCCTCAGGCAAGGAAGCACCTAAAAACATAACAAAATTAGTATAAGAAATCCATCTAAAGCTTGAAAATCACATAGAACCAAACAGAAAACTGCTTAGTATTCAGGTCAACATACGAAACCAAAATGAAACCTGAAACAATAAGGTTTATAACATAGGTGGGTACGAACAACCAAGAAAATTGCCTTCACAAGAGTGTGGCTTAAAAAAGACTAGTCCCAATTTATTTTGCAATACATGAATCTATTTTAATAGTCTCAAGAAATGTATATATATATATATTCATTAAACGTGCTATCTAACAAAATGTGTATTTCTGTTCCAGTCGTCCCCAGCCTCCACAGACGTGTTGACTGCCCTGAAGCGCAGACTAGAGAACACTCAAGTCCCCCAGTTTCCTCGCCACAGACTGCGCATGCTTTCCAAACTAGGCGATGGCGCTTTTGGGACGGTAAGAAGTCTATTAATATCATTGTAACCCATATATATCGATATCAGTACTGTAATAATTTTGACTTCAAATAACTGTACAGAGTGTTTAGTGGTAATACTTTTGTTTGGAGCTTTGGAATAGTTTTTCGCGAATCAGGTTAGGTTGTGCACTAGCTCATCTAAACCGAAACTAATTTTAAAGGTTAGCCATACTTATCATATTAGTCATTGGTTTTAAAAGCAACAATCCCAATACCATTGTTAAATCTGAAGTCTGTATACGTTTATATCATGTCTGGTAAGGTTTTAGCGCATTGTTGACTACTTTGTTACCTTATCTTAGCTTAAATTTTGAACAAACTCTTGACTCTTTGTTCAAGACAAGAAATATTTGAACTGATAGCATTGTGTAGGGTAAATATTTACCTAGATATCATGAAAACAGTCATATATAGTAAGTACCAAAGTACACACTTCATCTGACAGAAATATACCGTGAAACTTTCTTCTACTGCTCCTTAACAATGAGAAATCTATGTATGATTAATCAATGGTTGTGGTTAAAAGCAGCCGATTCCATCCACAACTTCACCATTAATTACACAACACATGCACATGGATTGCTTAGGTTTATTTGAACTAGGCTATAGGGTGTTCTATCTACCCCTTAAATACATTATCCATATTTTATGTGTATTATAAAAAATTACAAGTACATGTTTGGTTATTAGTGATGTTCTGTCCCTAGGTCTACATAGCAGAAGCAGATGGAATACCTGAGTACGGCAGCCCAGCATCTCTAGGGAACAGACTGGTTGCTGTCAAGTTCTTACTGCACAATGCCACGGAGAAGGAAAAGTAAGATGTCTTATTTATATGTGACAGATTGTATATAAATAGTGTATTGGTTGTTTAAGTCGATGATTATATCACTCAATGGTTTTAATTCGTGTGGGATTATTATTATCAATTTAGTCACAATAATAAATACGGGTGTGCCACTTGAATTTTCGCTTTGGAAAGAATTATGTGGAATTTCATTTCATTTTAATTTTCCAAGGCAATGTCATTTACAAAAATAAAATTCAGTTAATATTAATAAATGATAGTGAGATTGTAAACTTCAAGAATGACTTAACTATACAATGGATCAACTTTTCATCAACAATAATAGGTATAATACAAAGACATTTCATCAACAGTAATAGGTAAAACAATATCAATGAGTTATTATCAATATCAATAACAATGATAATAATATGAATTACAAGATAATCTTGGAAACGTTTGGATACTTTGGAATACTCTTTTTACGAGTAAATAATATTTTTTAGGCTATTCGGGGAATAATTTTTCGTCAATGTTATGTAGTCTTTTTAAACTCAGGGTAAATATTTCAGATTTGATTTGGAAGTTTCTCAGGATAACTTTTTCATCAAAGTACTAGTTTATTGAATCTACCTTTCCAGTTAATTCTTTTTTTTACCCACCAAAAATGTTGAAATATCCTTTTGACCGAACTACCTCGGCCGATTGTTGAATTGAATTGCCCTAGTCTAACATTTATAGATTTAGTCTTATAAAATCCACCCAAGCTACACCAAGGCACTTGAATGCAATGTACCTCATGAGTACTCAATTGACATAGCCTACAAAAACCCCTCCCCAAATTCAAGAACAAACCAAACCCAGACTCCCCAAGTGTATTTATCATTTCCTAAATTAGCCTAACCCAAAATAACTGCATAACTTATTCAACCCTAACCATCCTATTCTCGCTTGCCTAACTATATTGATCACGCTAACCTAACAAATTGAACATAAAACACTACCTAACCACCTAATCTGTCTCTAGGCTAGACTTCCAGCGTGATGTCCGTATCCTCTCAGCCCTGGAGGACCCCAACCTGGCCCGTGTGTTGGGCATGTGTAGTCAAGAGGAGCCCCTGTGTGTAGTCATGGAGTATATGGACCACGGAGACTTGTGTCAGTTCCTACAAAACCATGCCTTGGCGGAGCCCTCCGTCGTTGGCATACCGGGAGTCAAGACCCTCAGGTAAGAAGAGAACCAACATTTTTGTTGTTTGTAGGCCTATGCTAAGTTTGCTGACGTATTTAAATTCATTGTTAAGCCCCTGAGCTGTGGATATTATTGTAAGAATATATTACTTACGTCAATCAGCTCATTGAGTCGTGAGTTTCACCTCAGTACATGTTTCGACACATTGTCATCATCAGCTGAGTTAGTACTTGTGAAGGTTTAATTCACCAGATGGCTTCGTCATGTTGAATAAATTAACACGTAACATGTAACACGAATACGACACGACACATATACATTTATAACACGTAAAACTTGAAGACATGCAGGCCTGCTCGAACAAAACATTAGAGTCTGTCCCCGACCCGCGGCGTGACCGTATGTTTTGTTCGAGCAGGCCTGCATGTCTTCAAGTTTTACGTGTTATAAATGTATATGTGTCGTGTCGTAATCGTGTTACATGTTACGTGTTAATTTATTCAACATGACGAAGCCATCTGGTGAATTAAACCTTCACAAGTACTAACTCAGCTGATGATGACAATGTGTCGAAACATGTACTGAGGTGAAACTCACGACTCAATGAGCTGATTGACGTAAGTAATATATTCTTACAATTTGTTGGCGTATTAGAAAGATAAGAAAAATGTCAAGTAAATCTTATTGAACATTTCTCATAAATTATAAGTTACATTTTGAAAAAAAGTTATGAATTTAATTTCGATAAAATAACAGTGAAATAGTAAAAAGAAATTTTTTATAAACCCTTATATATCATTAAAAATGTTCTTGAATTCTAAAAAAACCATATACCCCGCTAATTGCATTTAGCAAAGTGAAATTTCTTTGAAAAAGTAATTGGTAAATTTGTGTGCTCTTTAATTTACTTAATTAGTAAAAAATCATCATTTCACTAAACAAAAATGAATCATTTTGGTCCGTTGCTAAAATTTGAAAAATTATTAAATAGAAATGAATACTGAATTTTTTAAGTGCTAAACTTGTATACTGCATTTAAATATTGCTTAAGGTAACTTATTGTGACATCACAGTTCTACAAAATCTTAACTATATACCTAATGGTAATCTTTTTATTTATAGTTACAATTGTCTGCTGTACATGGCTGCTCAGATAGCGTCTGGTATGAGGTATCTGGAGTCCCTCAACTTCGTTCACAGAGATCTAGCAACCAGGTAAGCTACTCATTTGATTTTATATCTAAAATGCGACTACTCTATCAATATATTAGTGTTTAACATTGGTTTAGCACTTGGTAATTTTTACTTGTTCACCCCAACCCATTGAGTAGACGGTGCTCAAATCTAGCATAATTTTACACTTAATTAAATCTATTTCAAAACACATCCTGCCACACGCAAAACTAACACGACCTCATCATTTTCCATACAATACCTCCAAAACAAACAACATTCTTCATCTTGAAGATTCAGAGGCACATAAATTCCAATTATATTTCGAGCGTAGGTTACTAAATTAAAATAATGAAATAAAACAAAACCGCCCAACCTCTGTACTAATTAACCGGACAAAGCCAACAGGGAATAACTCCAACTGCCAAATGAAACAGTGAAACAAATGGAACAGCATGCATGTTTAATGCCTATGAATTATTGTCAGACTGACTACGAGCATTTGCATACAATGACAAACATACAAATATAAATTTTTATTTTCACTGGAACGACAGTTGATCTGCATCTAGCAGACTTCCATAATCAATCAAATAGTAGAGCTAATCCTGTAACTTAATTTGAACTTTTTTAACGTTTAACATTAAAAAAAAATATTTGTTTATTGTTAGCACGGTATTTTTTATCATTCAGGTATTCATGCTAACAGATATTATATTTTTTAAATATGTAATGTTAATTCGATTAAAACAATACGCCATCCTAAAAGCATGTTATACACAAAATACACAATACACAACAGCACACAAGAATGCACACTAAATTATGTTTCTTTCTTTTCCCTTCAAAATAAATCTTGATCGTAGAGCTTTTCATAAATGTTAATTGCTAAAGAAAATCCTTATCTTATTTGGTAACAAAGCTGCACAAAGCATGTCACTTATTCCGCACTCTTTAATATCCCATTTATATTATTGGTTTAAAATACAACATGGTGGGTAGCTGAGTGGTTATAGTGCTCACCTTACAATCAAAAGGTCACCCGTTCGATCCTGAGAAAAGCCAATAGCTTGTTGATGGTTCGAAACCGGACCCAGCTGTTCCTGACTAATGAAACAGCTGATCTTGGTCAGTAACAAAGATACACAGATCATCTCACTCCATTCTACACTCATATTTGGGTTAAAATACGCACTTAGCTGGCGTCCTTATCCCAATAACTAATAATTTAAAAAATCTATGTATCCCATCTTACAACATTGGTAATGATAATATCAAATGGTAATTAGTGTTCCATTTCCTTTATTGTTTTATGTTCTTACACTGGGTAACGCTTTTTACTAACATCCCAAACCAGTTTTCTTTTACATTAAATTCGTTACAGTGTTAATTAACAATTAATCTCAATTACAAAACCCCCAGAGTAGAAGAAGACGAGATTTGTAACATCGGATCTCTGTAAAACTTGACGAATGACCTTGACAGCGCAGCTCAATGTCCAAAGTGGGAGAACCACGGGTGGTCTGACATTTTAATAACAGCTGTTTTGCAATCCCGACTTTTTACATCTGTCAACTCGCTTTTATTCTTGGAGAATTCGTTCTATTAACATAAAGTTTGCAAGAAATATATCCCTGTCGATACCCAATGGGATGTCTTCAGTAGGGATAAAACTTTTGTTTATTGCTCATTTGACCCGTTTATTGCTTCGGTGGTAAATACTTTATGGTTTGTCTGTTTTTCAAAGAGTTTTCTTGTTTTAATGTTTTCTAATGCGATCTCCTCTTCTTTTGATGCTTTACTTATGTCAGTAAACCATAAGAGCTTCTTAAGGTCTTAAAGAATTGTATGCTTCTAAAGCTTGATTTATGCTAGAGAATAAAGTACATGAGGTTTTGGATTGCATGTGTTTTAGTTAATCGTGTATATAATTAGTTTAATGTTATACAGGGTGTCCCAGAACTGTCTACCAATATTTTTGGGTATTGTTTCTTTAGTAAGGAGCATATCTAAATATCATATTTAAATTGTCCTTAGTTGCTCACGCAAACCCCATTTTGTTTTATTCACTTATTGATTTTTTTAAAGTTGTTTAAGATACGAAAATGAAATTTTGCAAAACATTTATGTTAACTAGACAAAGGTAAAAAAATCAGGATTTTTTTCAAATTTATACAACAAAATGGCGGCCATTTAAAATTTTGTTTCTTTAATAACTCAAACCCGTTTATTTTAAAACACCGGGACACCCTGTATAAAGTAGTTGGAAGTACAAAATATTCAGTCATATTGCTTACTGTTTATTGAAACTTTCACAGCTTGTAAAGGTAGTTTCTACCACCCATTTAAAATTGCAAACAGAAATTTTAAAAATAAATAGTTATTAACGCCTTTCTGTTAAGTTTTTTTGTATCTTCCAGAAGGTTAAAATTTGATCTTGTTTGATGTCTACAGAGTTTCTCCGAAAAATGAACTTAATTTTCGTTTTCAGGAACTGTTTGGTTGGCAAGGGGTACCTGATCAAGATCTCCGACTTTGGCACCGACAACGACCTTTATACTAGAGACTACTACAGAGTACATGGAGGAATGGCGCTGCCTGTACGCTGGATGGCGTGGGAGTCTATCTACATGGTAAGTACTCTACTCTTAAGTACTCAACTCTTAAATACTTTAATCTTAAGTACTCAACTCTTAAATACTCTACTATTAAGTACTCAACTCTTAAGTACTCTACTCTTAAGTACTCAACTCTCAAGTACTGAACTCATAATTACTATACTCTTAAGTACTTCACTCTTAAGTACTCTACTCTTAAGTACTTCACTCTTAAGTACTCTACCCTTAAATACTCTACTATTAAGTACTCAACTCTTAAGTACTTCTACTCTTAAGTACTTCACTCTTAAGTACTCTACCCTTAAATACTCTACTATTAAGTACTCTACTCTCAAGTACTCAACTCATAATTACTCTACTCTTAAGTACTTCACTCTTAAGTACTTCACTCTTAAGTACTTCACTCTTAAGTACTCAACTCTTAAATACTCTACTATTAAGTACTCAATTCTTAAGTACTTCTACTCTTAAGTACTCAACTCTCAAGTACTCTACTCTCAAGTACTCAACTCTCAAGTACTTCACTCTTAAGTACTCTACTCTTAAGTACTTCACTCTTAAGTACTCTACTCTTAAGCACTCTACTCAAGTACTTAACTCTTAAGTACTGTACTCTTATGTACTGTTGTCTTAAGTTTTATACTCTTAAGTACTTAACTCATAAGTATTCTACTCTTAAGCACTTTTTTAATTACTCTACTCTTAAGCACTTAACTCTTAAGTACTCAAATCTTAAGTGCTCTACTCTTAAGCACTCAACTCTTAAGTACCCTTAAATAACACGATGTAGCAACATTGAACACTCATGATCCACAAGATTAAAAAGCCTTTCGTCTGAATTTCGATTTTGATTACCAGAGTTTAATTTGTTTACCATTATGTTTTACTTAATATTCAAAAAAGACAATGATATCCTGTCCTGAAGAAAGATTGTATTCCCTTGCCGTTAAGTATGTTTTCATACCAAAAAGGTTTTAAGCATGGATAAGTGTAAATATTATATAAACTGATTTCCCATTCTTAGTTAAGAAATATAGTCTAACTTCCACCACGTACATTGTAAATCGCTTGAATGTGCATTTTGATAGATATATTTCCCTATTAAGACCATAGACATTGTTTAGCCTTCATAATTATTACTTGTTTCTCTTCACTTTAATACTTGTAGCTTTAATTTAAAATGTTTTCAAACTCTATTTAGGTAAAATGATGAATTATTGTGAATCAATCTCCCTTTATTTATTTGTTATTCTACTGTCAAATATAAATTTGATCAAGTAAATAACATTTTTGTAGACTTTTCCCATTACGCCAATTTACAGAGCAATCAGGTTTAACGGTCCGGAATTAAATTTCTTACACAACTTAATACACAACCGAATGATTAACTTTAAAAAGGTAGTATAATCATTCATCAATGCCCTCTGATGTGTTGCACATCTACCATCGTGATTTTCCAATTCTTCATGTTTCAGGGCAAGTACACTACAAAATCCGACGTGTGGTCGTTCGGGGTGACTCTCTGGGAGATCTTACACCTGGGGAGGAAGCGACCCTACGACACCCTGACTGACGAGGAGGTGGTGGCCAACCTGGAGCTCCTCTACCGGGACTCTGGGACCTTCAGTTACCTCCCCAGGACCCCGGCCCCTCCCACAACCAAGGACGTGGCCGACCTGCTGACAGAGTGCTGGAGACGCAATGCCGCCGAGAGACCCACCTTCCGCGAGATACAGCTGTTCCTACAACGCAAGACACTGGGGTACGCGCCCACCTCGTGACTAAGGAGGAAGTAAGGATGGAAAGTCCTGGAACTTGTAAATGTTGGTGATTTGCATCAAGAAGAACATTTCAAAGAGGTCTTTAGCTACACCATGGACAAAAAGAATTAAATATAGACCGAACGCTGGGCTGCGATTAGTATAGGTTCTGGCGTCCACCGCTAGTAGTACACGGCACTCCCACCGGTGGACGCCAGAACATATACTAACCACATCACATCTGTTGGTCTATATCTAATTATTTTTGTCTATGGTTAGACCCAGAGAAGTAAAAAAAGGAGAATACACTTTAACAGGATTAACAGAAATCCAAACTATTTATTGTGTTTAAAATGTTATCATTTGTGATAAAAGCTACACAGTATACTATATGTATTTTGACTGTGGTACAAATAATAATTATTATCAGGAAGGGTAACTTCTATAGGTAGAAGTTTTTTCAATTATTTAAAATATTTAGAAGTATGGCTTAGAACTGGAATACGCAATGTTTACTATGATAAGTTAGTGATGGTCAACCGAAAAGTGTTGACATTTAATTCAATTCTGAATGATAAATAAAATCTTAAATCCATGTTTATTTTGAATAAATTACAGAAAAGAGTCATCTTTGGACTGATTTTCCCTAATATGTAGTTTTTTTTTTATATAACAGAATAATAATTTTTTCCTACAGTTACCTAACAATGTACATGTTCTCTCACTGATTTGAGAAAGCAAAGTGGCCAATTCGCTCATCAGTGAGACAATGTTAACATTGTCTCACTCTAATTACTTTGTCTCACTCCAGATTTGCAACGTGAAGGCACGGAATAGTGAGCGCGTAACATGCAGGCAACGTCGTATGCGCGCGAAATACGTTGGCAGCACTGGCTGTAAATCAGCTGGTCAGCTGTTGTACTGTTGTATTTGTAACTTCACATTAAATGTTATATTAAAAGTTCACTTCTGTGAAAAATAAGGTTATGTTTCTTCACAAATTTATTTGTTTTATGGTAACTGTAGGAAAAGTATAATGTGCAACTCGAGTGCAAAGTACAATTGCCTCACTCGAGAAACCATTCCTCACTCGCCTACGGCTCGTGAGTAAGGGTTTCTCTCGAGTGAGTCAATTGCTCACTTTTCTCACTAGTTGCACAAATAACTATACTCAATATAGTAACATATAATTTTCTAAATTGGATTGTCAAGCCCAGCATATAAGATCTTGTCTTTTCTTGTAAATCAGGATTAAGTTTTTACACATCAATAAGATAAATTAATTTGTTTGTATGAAAACTGTTGGAGTCATTTATCTGATAAATAGTTTGGTAGGGTATTTTAAGTATGCGTACATATTTATATAAGTTTCTAATTATTAAATAAGTTATTCCTCACAGTGCTAAGGTTCATCTGTTGTTATCAATAAATTATTTAACATATTTGTAAACAATCACTCTTTTTGTATCAAGGGAAAGTATATATAATGTAGAAACTATGCGAACAAAAATTAAAATTAATTATCATGTTGAGCATTTAGTACCCTAAATGCATTTAGGTAATTAAAATACTAAGGGAAATTATGTTGAAATATTTTGTAAGTTACTATGATGAATAAAAAATAATTTATATTTATTGAACAACAATAAAATACACGACCAATTGTAAATAAGTAACTATTTATAGTACTCTAAGAAGATATTTTATTAATGTTAGTATCCCTGAAAGTTTTGCAGGTTCCAGATTCGAGACAACGACATTTTATTTAGGAGCAAATTATTTAAGACTATTGTATAGTGAAGTATGTTTATATTGAAATGTTTGTAAATACTTCTGTTGTAAATAATGTCAATGTACAACCACAATCAACTGTAGTGCCACTAAGCGTCAAGTGTGCTTTAGTAAATACAAATCAAACTTTCAAGCTACTTTCAGCATACAATAAATAGAGTATGAATATGAGTAAGTATGAATATTAATAGAGAGTTAATGGATTAATAGTAAACTTTGTATGTAGCTGTGCGTGGAAAGAAGTAGGAGAATTTAGAAATTACTTTGTACAACGAACGTAATGAAGGTACTTTGCATAATAGTATCATATTTCATTAGGTAGTGAAACTTATAGTGAAAACCTTTTAACTAGGCGTGAAAGTAATTTCTTAGGCAATTTCCTTAAAGTAACTAATATTATTTTAAAAATGTTACCTATAGTTTTAAAACATTTGTTTATAAACCATCAATTTGGTTGTTCTTTTAAAAAATCTTTACACTTACAATTTCAAAATAATTTTACTCTTTAAATTTGAAACTTTATAATATTATTTCAATTAAGGTATGGATAGTAAATAAGTCGAAACATTCATTGACATGGGTAAAGTGTGTATTCTAAAAATCATATGTTCTGTCTCTAGTACCACACAACTTACTCACACTTGAACTAAACACATAATAACTTTTATAGACGCAATTCAATTAATCAACAATCAATCATCATGAGACATCACTGCCAATGTTGAAACTGCACAAATCACGACGTATGTAAGCCTTAAATGTAACATTCTGTATTGTATCTTTTTTTTCACCTCGCTGAATGAATCAGTACAAATGGAGCCAATAAGGATTGAGAGCAATACACAAGTAAAATACAAGTAGTAAAACACCTTTTGGTCAAATCTTTGTGTAAGGTCTATAAAATATTGGTTTTAACTTTACAGTTATGTCTTAAGGTTTCCATATTTAGTAAACTTCTCACCGCTAAAATTACTTTGACTTTTGAAATTTCTAATAGTTGCCATGGCAGAGAAGAATGTATTCTAAGGATGTACAGATAAGTTTAAAATGAACTAAAATCAAAGAAATCCTTTTATAATACACCTATTTTTGAAAAAAAAAAAAAAAATTTTGAATGTTTGTATAAAAGCATAAACTAATAATACACAGGTGAACAAAACACTAATACATTTTGAGATAATACTTTAGAAACCTAAACTAAAATATTTCTCTCTATATAACTTCTAAACTATATTACTAACCGGATTGCACAAATCCATTTTTTATGAAAGCAAATCTACTAAAAAATACCCTTTTCCTACAGTTACCTAACAATGTACATGTTCTCTCACTGATTTGAGAAAGCAAAGTGGCCAATTCGCTCACCAGTGAGACAATGTTAAGATCGTCTCACTCTAATTACTTTGTCTCACTCCAGATTTGTAACGTGCGTGAGGGCACGAAATAGTGAGCGCGTAACATGCAGAAAAGGTCGTATGCAAGCGAAATACGTTGGCAGCACAGGCTGTAAATCAGGTGTTGTACTGTTGTATCATTAAATATCATATTAAAGAGATTAAGAGGTAAAGAGATTGTAGAGGTTAAGTGGTAGAGAGGACTTGCTAGTCCTAACTTCGCCTCTTAAATAAAGACATTTTTCATTTCATTTCATTTCATTAAAAGTTAATTTCTGTGTTAAAATATGTTACGTTTCTTTACCAATTTATTTGTTTTATGGTATCTGTAGGGAAAATATAATGTGCAACTCGAGTGCAAAGTGCAATTGCTCACTAGTTTCACATTTTTTAACTAATTTATTTGCAATAAAGCGTCTAGCATAGTAGTTATAGTAATCGCCTGACAATCAAAAGGTCACCGGCTCGATCCTGACGGACAATAGCTTTTTATTCGAAAATGGACCCAGCTGTTCCTGATCATTGGACTTTAAATGATCTTGACAAATGAAACAGCTGATTGTCAGTAACCTACACAGATCTCACACCATTCTACACTCATCCTTCACTCATATTTGGGTTAAAATACACACGTATGGGTGACGTAGTTTCAATTATTTATAATTAATATTAATTAGCCTAATTGGCTCTGTTTGTACTGTGGTAAGACTGTGTGTAACATTATCAACTATGCTTCCAAAAACGCCCTGCCGCACTCTGGAAGGGCCCTGCCTTCTTGATCATCTACAGACATTAGTCTAAACATCTGTGATATAGCGTAGTTCGTATCTTGTACAGTGTATGCGTGTGTACATTTTGTAGAGTCCTTCTTGAAATATTGATTAATAAAATCAATGTTCATACATGTTGTTGTTTTATTGCGAAAACCTGTTGTTATCTTGGTGGTGTGTTTTAACTTGTGGGTTTTCTTATTTCAATATTTTATCCCTAAGTCAAAATTCAATATATCATTCTTACCTTTGGTTTAAATTTCAGGTTGAAATAATGTCCTTTTTTCTCTTTAGACCGTTTTATTTTAGTATTAATATATTTTAAATAAATACTTAAGTGGCGTCTGGTATGGGTTTATAGGTTTTTATTGAGATATGGCAACATTTGTGAAGGATAGTGGATGTAATCAGGGGAATTCTGTATGGTGGAGAATAGGAGTCCTGGTCCCCATTATGTTTTAGCTAGGGTACTCAATTTCAAAAAGTTAATCACTGTTTACAGCATATTTATTTAACTATCGGATAAAAAAATCTATATATTAATAGACAAGCATGTTTCTTTAAAACCTTTTTCTCAGCTCGTGTGCATTGTGGAGAAATTCCAGACGTATATTTTCCTTAAGATGTGCAGAATCCCTTTATATATTAAAATAGGCACAAAAATTTAATTTTAAATAATGAAAAATTAACATTGGCCTAATGGCTTGCCATGCTGGTGACGAAATAACAACGAAATATAAAAAGAAAATCAAAACAAATTGAAGAAACTCCAATCATATGTTTTTTACAGCTTGGTGTGAAAGTAGACAAAGTCTTTACATTACATATTTTTGGTCGAGTTTTCAACTACTGGACGACCTCTAGTATAAATAAACCCACACATGGTAATTATCACTGTAAGAAAGCAATATAGCTGGTATATATAAGGGAAAACTATCGCAAGAATCCAAAACCCTTTTTACCGTAATTTTTTTTAAAGTTATATTCAAAACTTATTCTATCTTCTGTCTAGTAATCATTCACCCATGTTTAGCGGTACAAGTATTACATTGTTTTCGATAGTTACAAAAACACTCACTACGGTGCTCCTGCAATTTGAACACTAGGCAGACCAAGAACAGTAGCTATATTGGGTCTGGGAAAATGCAGGCGTCTAGTGAACAAGAAACATATTCAAAATGTATATATTTCACCTTAATGACAGAT